CTCTCTCAGTCTCTGAGTATCTCTCCCAGTGTCTGAGTGCCTCTCCCAGTGTCTGAGTGTCTCTGAGTGTCTCCCAGTGTCTCTCAGTGTCTCTGAGTGTCTCTCCCAGTCTCCGAGAGTGCCGTACCTGTTCCGGCCGCGGAGGAAGCCCGGCTCTCTGGCTCGCTCTGTGTCTCCATGGCCTCGGCGCCAGCGACGGCCGGCGCCGCGGACGTCGAGGGGAACAGGTCGCCGGAGAGCGGCACCATGTACAGCATGTCACCGTGCTGCAGCCTGAGCGACTCCACCTGGCGGCGGCGGACCGCGGTTCGAATCCCAGCCGGGACAGACACTATCACGGTACAACATGATACGGTACGCATGTAGATGTACGGCTATTAACCTCTACTTCTACAAAGGCTTCCAAGATAAAAGTATGAAAAAATTCATTTCAACAAAGATAGGACATCAACAAAGGCAGTATTGCTGCTTTTGACTGGATAAAAATAAACGAATGCAATGTCACCAATACAGAATGCGCACAGTTTGTAATCTAGTGAATAGGTGAACATGCCGTCTGATCATACCTTTTTCGACTTGCTGGAGAGGATCTCATCCTTCTGTCCGCGCGATCTGTAGATGGCGAACGCGTAGCTGTCCAGCTCGAATGCCTCCTTCACCTGTGACGCGGGAGTCCAGTGGCCGTCAGTACCCGCGCAGTGGCGGCGGGCTGGAGGCGGGAGGCCGCTCCCCTTAACCACAGCATCTATCCAGTATCCAGTGAGGGTCAGTTGGGGGGCGCCACTGCGGTCATACGCCACGACGGCCTCGATCACTGGGCTGCTGGCCCCACAGACCCCCCGGGGACCCCTGGCCTCCAGCTGGAGATCCCTACACACATCTGACTGTTTCGCTCGCAGCCAGTTCCCCAATGATCCGTCTGGATTGAGACCGGAGGCCGAACGGGCCGCAGGGAGCTCGCGGGTGGCACTGCCCGCCTGGGGGTGGACGGGGGGGGGGGGGGAGGGGCGCTCATTTGGCCAGAACACACACGCGAGCCAAACGGTGCTTCCCTCACCCGTGCAGCACTCCGCAACTGAGTCGTGGGGCGGCGCCCTGGCCGCCGGGCGGCACACGCAGCGCCCCAGGCGCCTGGTTACCAACACACAAGAGTTTGGGTCACACAAAAGGTTACCGGCTACATAACGCCCGGCACAGACCGTTCCCCGCCGCCCGCCGGGCGGTGTCGTACCTTTTCGAATAGCCGGCTGGTGGTGGCTCCGCTCCTCAGCTCCACGCGCTTGGTGCCCTCCGGCGACTGGATCCGCAGCAGCTGCGGGGGAGGGGGGGGGGGGTCAGTCACGTGCTACAGAAGGTGGGGGGGGTCAGTCACGTGCTACAGCAGGTGGGGGGGGTGTCAGTCACGTGCTACAGCAGCTACAACCGCTGCGTGTTCACCGCATAGTGCACAAGGCTCGCCTCCCTGGGTGGTAAGCATTCCTGTTCCGACAAGACCAGCTAGACTATAGACAGGACCTAAATAAGACCTAGACTGAAGTTGAAAAACTGCATCACATCTGCCACGCAAATTTTCCACTTAACCCCTCTCACTTATGGAGGGAGTCGAGTGGGACCCCCTCGGCTTTTTCGCAAATAATTCGCGAAAAAGCGGCCAATGGTGACAAAACTTTCAGTACCTACCCTCAAGTAAATCAATTTTACACCTACCTTGGAAAATTCATGATCCTGACTCAAATCAGTGCTTACCTTTGACCTCAGACATTTTCTCGAGACCAGGTTTGGACAGAATCGCGGACCCACGTACCTATGCCGGCGCACATTATCCGTGCGTTTTCAGACATTATGAGAATAAAAACGTGCAAACATGTGAAATGATGCTTGTCCCATGCATCATGGCAGGTGCAAAGGTCGTATGAAGGTCAGGTGAAGATCCATGATCTTTGGTGACATCGAGTAACTTTTTCGAGTTTCACAACTTCTTTGGTTATTTTTGGAGCTGATGTCGAATTTGGCTCTCTGTTCAACATTAAAAGATAAGTTTTGATGCTTATGCCACATGTGATGAAACTGTCAGTGGCGGTTTACACCTACTATGGAGAGCTGTTGGGATTTCTTATGGTTGACCTGACCTCACCCGACCTACCCCAAATGCATGAATACATCATCTTTGATCCAAACAAATACCAACTTTGAAATCAGCTCCTCATAAACCGCTGAAAAACCTCCCTTTCAGACGTTCTAGTGGGTCACAATTTTCCCGACTTTTGGATCAGTGACCTGACCTGAGCCAGTGACCTAACTAAGAGGCCAAAAGGCTGAGGGGCAAGGTCCAAAGGACCCCTTCCTTGTACGTAAGTGGCTGGCAAACCACCAACGTGGACAAGGGTTAGTTCACGTTAATTAGAAGTTTGGTACTCTCTTAGCAGACGATGCCCTTGCTGCCACATCTACGTCTCACGTGCGCCACAATTGTCTTTCCACAGATAAATATACGACAAAGCATAACCTAACCTGACCTAACCCTACCTACAACCTACAACCTACCAACCTACAACATACCTAACTAGACATGGCAGCTCGGCCAACATCTGCTAAGAGAATACCAGAAGTTCTTCCCATTGTTGCTATACTGAATGGAGAATTAAACCAATGCTGAACTCAATCTGAAGTGCGCTGCATCTTTGTGAAATGATTTCCAACGGGATGAAAATATAGCCTGTGAGCTGTTCTACCGCAGGTATACCGAAAAATGTCTTTTTATCATCGATAAAATAAAAACTCACCATGATGGTAAGGCACGGGATGCCTTCAAAATGCAATTTCCAATAACCCTTGAATTGATATGAGTAGTATTACCTCTTGAAATACCAATGCAGCATTCACTTATCTGAAAAGGACAAATCGGTCAGATGAGAACCAAAAATACCAATGATGGAAGTGATTTGCTATTGATGCCAGAGTATGACAATCAGTAATTTGGGCAGAGGGGGCCAGCAACAATGAGGTTAGGCATATGCTACCCATGAGTGATGATGAGTGAGTGAGCTAGGTGTTGGTAAGGCCTGTTTCTTTCTGTTTCAAGGTATATAAGCTGAATGACTACTCAGAGCAGATCCAGCTGAACCCCATTTCAACCTGAACAAAGGGAATTATCGTCTAATGAATGCTCAACTGTCATCAACTAACTGGACACGTACTGCAGAACTCGAGACTGAAGCAATGTACAGTGTTATCAAGGACACGCTCCTATCTCTGGCATCGACCTGCATACCCCTCGCCAAACCAAGGCCAACAATCAGGATTCTGTATATCAACCGGGAGGCCCTGCGGCTCAAGAGGCACACACGCTCTATGTGGTTCCAGTATGTACGCACAAGAGACCCGCTGGAATAGGCACGCTTCACTCGCGCCCGGAATAAGCTGCATACCCTGACCCGTAACCTCAAAGCAGGTTTTGAGAAGAGGCTGGTCGCAGATATCTGGGAAAACCCCAAGGGATTCTGGCGTTACACTGGCTCACGATTGCACACCAACATGAGAGTTGAGGACCTCAAGAACTGGGTGCAGGCTTTCCTCGTCTATGGAGTGGAAACCACGTCTACTGTATGGGTGACACACAGCTGGACCAGACCTCGGTGGAGAAGGACCTCTCAGGATCTACATCGACGATCAACTCAAGTTCCGCGACCAGGCAGCCACATCGATTTTGAAGGCTTCGCGCATCCTGTCCGTGATCCGCCGAAGCTTCACCCTTCCAGATGAGAACACTCTGCCTCTGCTGTTCCGAACGATGGTGCAGCCTCACCTTGAATACGCCAACTCCATCTGGGGACCCTTCAATCGGGAGGACCAGAGGCGCGTAGAAAAGGTCCAGAGGAGGGCCACAAAGCCGGTCGCCACCATCCAAAACCAGACTTACGAGGAGATGTTCTGGATTCTAGATATGCCGTCTCTCTACCACCACCGTCGCCGTGGTGACATGATAACTGTCTACCAGGTGCTGAGACTGGGGATCGACCTCAAGGCAAAGAGGTTATTAGTGGCGGCACTGGCAGTGGCAGGCAACACCCGCGGACACCGATGGAAGCTGTCGGCTTCGACACTTGTCGAAACTCGAAACCGAGGGCCGTCTCCCGAGCACATCAAAATATCTTCCCTGTCCGTCCGAATCATCAATGATTGGAATGCACTACCGTCATCAGTTGTCAAAGCTCCCAGCCTAAACGCATTTAAAGCCAGACTGGACAAACACTGGGCACATTTCAATTTGAAATACACAACTCATCTTAACGACTGATTCAGGGCATTGCAACTGCTAGGAGCTCGATAGAACAGGATCCTTGAGGCCAAGTGGCCTTTCAAAATTCCGCACTTTATAAGTATAAGTAAGCATAAGTAAAAGTATATAAAACACCGACACAATGTTGTTACATCAACAAAAATCAGTCCACAGTGTTTTTGTGTACAAGGAGGCATTTTGCAGTGTCACTGAACTACGTGTACTATATAGTGCCTTATTAGTAACAAGGTCAATATCAGCAGAAAAATAATCCAATTGACGATGTTGTTTTCTGCTCATTTGACTCAAAATGTGAACGTGAGCTAGTGTGTCTCAAATCTGAACACTTTTGTATGCGCCACAAGCGAACTATTTGTCTTCCTTTCTTAGAAGCATTCTCAATCTCAACACAAAGTTGAGAATTGATGACGTTTATGATAATTTTAGCAAATATTCAATATGGTTCACACTTTTACTTCAAAAAACGTAGTTGTCAAATTATTTCATGAATTTCGAAATAGCTTTACACCCTTAGTTCTTCTCTGGTAAATCATGTAAAATTCTTTAAATTGAATATACGTCATTTTACTTTATTAAAAAGCCATCATATCACACATATTTACAATTCCTATTTACATCATCCTTGAAAATCGCGGAATGCAACAGTTTCCGCTTCGCATCGCGCAAGTGGGTTGACGTTGACGTGGGGATGCCATAGAAATAAAAGCGGGGATGCGGATAAGTGCGTGTATGAATATGGGGAAAACGTTCTTTGATAGGCATTGTGCAGTGGCTTAACAAGATCCTCGACCATTTGACAAGCGGATCAACAGTTACGCTTCAGCTTCAGCTTGTGACTGCGGTGGCGTCACGGCTCAGGCTCAGAGGTTGAAGCGGCGGACGGTCACGGTACCTTACCACTGCAGTTGTGGTTGTTAGCATTTCAGACCGTAACTCGTGATTCTAATGCGGTGCACGAATAATGATTATGACCTAACGGCTCTCACAGTGTGAAGTGAGATATTCTCTTTGTTTTCATTTGTTTGATTGAGCAGTTGTGTGCTGGCTGACTGCTTTATGTTACATCATTACAGTGATATTGTGATATGAGTGCTCCAGTGGTCTGTTGGTAGTGGTGATAAATTCAGCCAATTTGGCTGCTCCAGTCAGAAGTTTGTGGATCAGAGCTGATCAAAATGTGATCCGGTTTGGCAGTGCAAACATTTGAAGCAAAATGTTTCAGTGGAAGTCGGCATGCCTTGCATGCCTATTAGGTGTTGCGGCAGGCCTTCCCTTGCACTATGGTAAGTTGAAGTTGAGCCACGATGATTTGTTTGAGGAAATAAACCTGTCTTGTGTGGATTGACTTTTGCTAATGTGATGAACCTGGCCCAGTGCTATTGGATTTAATTGTTTTACACTGTTGTATGCTCAGCTGATACCAATAAGTGACACATGATGTATGTGTTTCAGGCTCTTTGCCAGTTCAGGCAGGCACTGATGTCTGGCCGCTGCCCCTGCTGCTCGGACTGGGCCTTCTGGCAGCAGCAGTGTCAGTCATTGTTGGCTGCGTATGCTGCCATCGGTTCGGAAAGGTGGGTCAACAGTCTGACACATGGTCCAACTTTGTACCAGATCACACCCCATGCTCTTGTCACCCCACACACACACTGTATGGAGTGCCATTGGGGTGGTCTGTGTCTTTGAGGCCAAATTTATGGTGGTTGGTCTCATGTAGTGGCTGGCGTAGATTCACACACTATCCTCGAGGAGCGGGCGGCAGCAGTACGATGATTGAATGGGCTGTGACGGCTGGCGGACCCGGCTGGTCGGGGCCGCGTCCCGCCGGCTGCCCCCGGCTCCCGGACCAGCCGGTTCCGGGCAGCGGTGGACCGCCGCGCCGGAGGGGTGGTCTGTGCCCTTAGACAGCCCCCGGTGGGGCGGTCTGTGCCCGCAGACAGCCCCCCGTGGGGGCGCTCTGTACCCGCAGACAGCCGCCGGTGGGGTGGTCTGCGCCCGCAGGCAGTCCCCGGTGGGGCGCTCTGTGCCCGCAGACAGCCGACGGCGCGGCGGGGCGGTCTGTGCCCGCAGACAGCCGCCGGTGGGGCGGTCTGTGCCCTCAGACAGCCGCCGGTGTGACTCGAGCAGCGCTGGATCGAGCTATTTAAATTGGACATCATATCGAACTGGGTTTTTGCAAACTCCCGTTAACTTGACTTCCGTACCCATCACATGCTCTTAGTCAGCTGGTCAGTGGTCAGCTATGGCGAGTGACATCAGCGACCCGAATTGTATTCAGCGGTGCCTGCTCCTACCTGATACATTTCCTCATGATATATATCGTTATCCACGGACGGATTATGCACGAATTCGTGAACTTACGATTTTCTCAGCATCTGGCATGGGTTAATGGAAATTTCCTGCACGAAATGTATCGGCACTGAACTTATGACCAATATTGTCTATTTAGCTGCACCTCCGTGGATTTATGAATGGTGTCTCGCGTCCTATCTTGTCGCAAATATTACCCGTCGCACTATTCTCACTTCCTCTGGCTGCCTTCACGCTGGGCCTGCACCCTGTCCTGCTAGTGCTGACCCCCTGTCCCTGTCCCGCTGAGCAGACCCTTCCCCTGTCCTGCTGGCCCTCCCCTGCCCCTGTCCCGCTAAGCAGGCCACTGCGCCCTGTCCGGCTGACCCTCCCCGTTCGCTGATCATGGTGTCCAATTGAAGTGGTGCACTGCCGCGTCGCCGGGACCCGGGTAATGAACGGACGCCAGGGCCGGCAGAGAGCAGTAGCCACTTCCTGCCAGGACAGCCCGGCGACTGAGTCACACAGCTGGTCCCGGCGTCTGACGGTCTGAGTCTGAGTCACAAGGCTGCGGCTGTGGTCCCGGAGTCTGGGCCACACGACTTTGGCTGGCCCTGGCGTCTGACGGTCTGAGTCACACGGCTGGCCACGGCGTCTCAGTCTGAGTCACACGGCTGGCCACGGCGTCTCAGTCTGAGTCACACGGCTGGCCACGGCGTCTCAGTCTGAGTCACACGGCTGGTCACGGCGTCTCAGTCTGAGTCACACAGCTTGGGTCCCGGCGTCTGACAGTCTGAGTGACGGCCTGGTGTCGGGGTCAGGAGCGGGTCAGACACCTACCAATGGTAGGCTGCAGGGCAGCCTGTGTAACGTGCTCCTGAGCTGACACTGGTCGGGAGGTGGCTCTGACCGGCTCTGGCTCTGTCCGCGGCCGGCACTAGCTCTGTCCGCGGCCGGCACTGGCTCTGTCCGCGGCCGGCACTGGCTCTGTCCGCGGCCGTGCCGGCGTTTTTCCTCATTGAGGCTGGCCCACGGTAATGGTCGGATCCAAACGGGCCAGCCAGAATTTTCTCAGAACTGGGGAAGTCGGAACCTGCCCGCAAGCTCTTCAGCCATGGCCGGCTGGTGTGACTGTCAACATGTTTGAGGTTTAGGCTCAGCTCGAGTCGACGGCTTAGTCAGCTGAATGGAATTCCAATGGAATGCTTAAGTAGTGAAACATTGAAGGAGCTAGGTGTTGTTTGGAACATGCTTGACTGGGACGAAAATTCGCAGGAGGCGGAACAAGTAGAGGATATGTCTGTTAGAGCCTGCCGGGAGGAGGCGGATCACTGATAATCCCCTGTCGTTCCCTGACCATCTCTGGCGCCTGTCGTGGCTCGGACAGATCACTGAGAATCCCCTGTCGTCCCTAATCCATCGCTGCTCGCTCCGGTCTCGTTTGTAGTGACTAGTGAATGTCGATAAATGCGCTATCTGTCAGAGTCGCCGCCGTCATAGACGGTAAATATACACAGGATGACGGCGTCGGCGATCGTTGTGACGTCACTGGACAAAAACGGTGAATGACGTCAGAGCGGCGGGAAGACGTGACGCGTTTTTGTGACCGGCCCGCTCGTTACAAATGGTCGCGACTAGGGAAAGATTGAAGGCTCAACTACCTGCCGAGAGTGTGTGCCCACCCGCGCCATGCTGGCCGGCTGAACTGCTGCATTCGCTGTCGACGGTCGATAGGTATCCCACTGACACTACCATGCCGTCTGCGGCGCGATAGGGCGGTCCGTGCCGCCGCCGCCGCTGCTGTCTCACACGGCTACAGGCCGGCCCACACATGCTGGGCGTACTGAACGAAACCGTCACGTGACAGCCCACACATACTGCTCAGTGCTCTGTGTGCTAACGACGCTGCCCCGTGGAAGCCCACGCATACTGCTCTGTGTGCTAACGGACCCCCCCCCCCCCTCCCCCATGACGTTACCCGGGGCGCCACAGAAGCCCTCATCCCTCGGGGTTCACCTATAGTCAGTAGCCTATCTCTGGCCACTCTGCTTCCGACGCGCCCCTGCGCCGGGACAGGCCGGTGGTAACCAGTGCCTGTGGCTACCGCCGGGACAGGCCGGTGGTAACCAGTGCCTGTGGTTACCGCCGGGACAGGCCGGTGGTAACCAGTGTCTGTGTCTGTGTGTCTGATTGTGTCTGATCGGATGGTTCTGTGTCGGCAGGGCCCCCCTGCGGCCATCCAGGGCTTCAATAACGCCACGTACGACCCTACGCCGGCCGGCGAGCTCACTCTGTTCCCGCCCGTGGCGGTGGTGTCGGCGGCGCCCACACCGGGCCGGCCGCAGTTCGAGCCGCTGCCAGAGCTGACGGCAGCCGCGGCGGCGGCGGCGGCGGCGGCCCACCCCCGGCCGGCCATCTACAACCTCTCCGTCTCCAGGGGGTTCTCCGCCAAAGACTGGTTCGGTGAGTACCTACCTGCCCGCGCGGAGTACACACGGCAGAGCCCGCAGTGGTACCCGCAGCGAGTACATACCTACGGAGTACACGTACACGCGGCAGAGCGCGCAGTGGTGCCCGCAGCGAGTACCCAGTGACCCACGGAGTACACGTACAGGTCTCGCGGGTTTTAGCGGTAGGTTTTGCACCTAGAAAATTTAGTGTACTTCAGGCTATATCTTCGTCGTCTTAAGCTTTTAAGTGTTGAAGATGCGATCGACTTGTTGGGTAACAAGCCGGCCATGATCGTGTAAAATGGCTTCATCGTAGATCGATTAGTTTCTGAGATATAACCGGAAATGTAAAAGTGCAAAACCTACCGCTTAATCTCGCGAGACCTGTACACGCGGCAGAGCTGGAGCAGGTGGCTGGTGGTATGGACTGCCGAGTCATGGACTGATGGTGTGTGTCGTGGGAGAGACCTGGACAATGGACATAGACGAACAGTGCGGAGCTCAGTGTGTAAAAGATCGATGATGTTTTGCTAGCTTTTGACCACCGTTTGTCTGCTGACCGCTTGTCGCTGAAGCCGAGTTAGAGGAGGATTTGGGCGGGCAGGTCTGCTCTATAAGGCGGTCGTTGCTCCGGTAGGTATTGGTCAGAGCTCTGATATTGGTCCGGCCGTGGTCCGGTACTGCTCCGGTATTGGTCAGTGCTCTGGTATTGGTCCGGCCGTGGTCCGGCACTGCCCCGGTATTGGTCAGTGCTCTGGTATTGGTCCGGCCGTGGTCCGGTACTGCCCCGGTATTGGTCAGTGCTCTGGTATTGGTCCGGCCGTGGTCCGGTACTGCTCCGGCCGTGGTCCGGTACTGCCCCGGTATTGGTCAGTGCTCTGGTTTTGGTCCGGTTGTGGTCCGGTACTGCTCCGGCATTGGCTCCGTTGTGCTCTGGTGTTGGTCCGGCCGTGGTCCGGTACTGCTCCGGTATTGGTCAGTGCTCTGGTATTGGTCCGGCCGTGGTCCGGCACTGCTCCGGTATTGGTCAGTGCTCTGGTGTTGGTCCGGCCGTGGTCCGGTACTGCTCCGGTATTGGTCCGGCCGTGGTCCGGTACTGCTCCGGCATTGGCTCCGTTGTGCTCTGGTGTTGGTCCGGCCGTGGTCCGGTACTGCCCCGGTATTGGCTCCGTGGTGGTCTGGTGTTGGTTCGGTCGGTGCCCCGCTGTGTCTATGCCCAGTGCCGGGGACACCGCGGCTCTCCCACGCCGGGCACTTTGTCCCCGTCTGGTGCACCGTGAGCGGGTACGGTGCTCTGGGAGAAGATCCAGTGCACCGTGAGCGGGTCCAATGCTCCGTGAGCGGGTCCAATGCTCCGTGAGCGGGTCCAGTGCTCTGGGAGCGGGTCCAGTGCTGTGGGAGCGGGTCCAGTGATCTGGAAGCAGGTCTGGTGCTCTGGTTGGGGGTCCGATGCTCTGGGAGCGGGGCGCTGCCCGGCTCCCAGCGCCGGCCGGCCGGCCGGTCGGCTGAACCCGCCTCGGGCGTCCCGCCGCCAACCTTGGACACGGACTGCGCACCGTGAGAGGGTGGACGGGACACCGTGAGAGGGTGGACGGGACACCGTGAGAGGGTGGACGGGACACCGTGAGAGGGTGGACGGGACACCGTGAGAGGGTGGACGGGACACCGTGAGAGGGTGGACGGGACACCGTGAGAGGATGGACGGGACACCGTGAGAGGATGGACGGGACACCGTGAGAGGGTGGACGGGACACCGTGAGAGGATGGACGGGACACCGTGAGAGGATGGACGGGACACCGTGAGAGGGTGGACGGGACACCGTGAGAGGGTGAACGGGACACCGTGAGAGGATGGACGAGGCACTGTGAGAGGGTGGACGGGGCACCGTGAGAGGATGGACGGGACACCGTGAGAGGGTGGACGGGACACCGTGAGAGGATGGACGGGGCACTGTGAGAGGGTGGACGGGGCACGGATACAGCCACTCGTCAGTGTTTGGACACTTTGTACCTCGCTGCGCTGTAGGAGTTGGAAGGAACCACTGGTGTGTTTAGACACAGGGGATGTTTGGCGGGACCTCACGCCAGGTGCGCCGTGCATACAACTGTAGATGCGTTTTTTTTTTTTCTCCTCTCACCTCTTTATTATTAAATTTAACGAAACACAAGGACGTACAAATCACTTATGCAACACACACAAGCTACACGAATCACAATCAAAGAAGGACATAAACATGACATTGGCCCACATTCACGACACCAACCACACAGGCTTTGGGCGGCAGGTCACGACCGATGGCCGGCGGATAACGGACGCGCGCGTCGCGCGTCGACGCTTCGTGCGTCGAGGCTGATTTCTCTGCGCACAGTGTAGCGCCGCACTGCGTACACATGCCATAAAGTATGCACGCGACGTCCAAGTGCCGGCACAACGACCATGTGAATTTATTTGCGGACAATATTCACTGAAACAAGCCTCCGTGGTTCCTGTATACGACTTTTTCCCACTTTTCCCAAAATTGGTCGAGCTTATCATCTTTTTTGGCAATCGCTTTTTCAATTTCGTGCTGGTTCATGACCATTTTTATCGCACCTTCTACACTTGGTTGTTGAGTAGAATTGTTTTGTAATTTACATGCTACGATATACTGCTTGCACAATAAAATTACTAAGTTAATTATATTTGGACTGGACGCACTACCGAGAAGCACCGTTTTGGCGTTTAAGAAACTGTTTGGAAGTCGAAAGGCCGCCGTTATCTTACCTAGCACCTTATCCCAGATTTCGCGAACATCAGTGCAGCGATAGAAGAAATGTTCGAGCGTATCTACCTCAAAACATTTCAGGCATAATCTGCTACCAATAATGTTTCGTGAACATAGGAATTTACGTGTTGGAATATATCTGTGTATAATGCGAAAATGCAATGATTGTAATTTAGTAGACGTTGTTACTTTGTACGGTATCTCGTACATATCTCCCCAACAATCAAAAGAAATGCCCTCTTGTTCCCATTTGCATTGAGCGGTAGGTGTTTTAATCGTTAACAACTTTCTGTATATGTGATTACACATGAGTGCCCTCAAACAAACTTTCAAAGTGGCACTCACATTAATAAGGCAACATTTTCTATCATCTGGGTCCAGCATAGCCCTGGTGTTTAGCCTAACCATTTGTTTCCATTTGGACGGTATTGCATTTTTTATGCTCTGCAGTGTGAGGAAGTCAACTCTTAATTGTGGCATTTTTTCCTTCAGTTGACTGAAGCTTAGCATACTTCCATCGGGCCCAACTAAGTCATCTACTATTTTAATGCCAGCTTCATACATTTCCTTTTGAAAGGCAGGCTTCCCTCCAATTAATACCGTGTCATTATACCAAATCGATTCAGCTCTTGCTTGGAGGGCTTCGCAAGGTTCTTTATAAAATAACTCTTGATACTGGCCGACCACTTGTTTATAAAAATCAGGAATGTTCGACTTTTTAACGAAGTGCCTAGCGTTACGGTTCCTTAGCAAATCATCAATGCTATACTTTCCTATGCGAGCCTGAATAATCTTTCTCCACTGCGAGTCCACATTTGTGTACATTCGTTTAACCCATTGCAACCTTAATGCATCATAAAACTTCAATGTATCCGGCGCTTTTAAGCCACCCTCTCTAATACCTAGGCACAAGACACTGGCGGCAACTTTCGGGGGTCTTCCCCGCCATAAAAACTTCATAATCAAACCTTGAATCGTTTGTAGGTCTACCTTAGGGATGCTCACAGAGGAAGCTAGATACACTAGTTGGGATGCGACAAGCGTCTTTGAAATGGTTATGCGTCCCTTTAACGTTAAGTGCCTCTGAGACCAATTGTTCAGCACATTCCTAATCCTTGTAATAACAGGTGCTACGTTTTCTTCCGCACAGTCAGCGACGGCGCTGTGGGTGATGCCAAGGATTTTCAACTTCGAGACAGCTTCAATTCCTTCCACGGCCTCCTTCCTAAATTTAGCTGATCCTACCCACATCAATTTCGTTTTCGTTCTGTTTATTTCAAGTCCAGAAACTTTTCTGAATTTGTCTAATACTTCTAATACTCTATGCACCGACGCTTCAGAGTTCAAGAATACCGTTGTATCATCGGCATACATGCTCAATTTTACTTCGATGCCAGCAATGGTAATTCCCTTGATTAGCCTATCTCTTCTTATCTTGTTCGCTAGTATTTCTCCTACTAAGTTGAACAGTAAACCACTCAGCGGAGAACCTTGAAAAGTACCGCGACCGCACGCAAACCAATTTGACGTAAAACCGTTATTGCAAACAGCCAGAAGTGAGCCGTTATATAAAAGCTTTATCCATGCTATCAATTCAGGACCAAAATTAAATGCTTTCAATGTGTGCCAAATAAACTCGTGGTTGATTGAATCGAAGGCATTTTTGTAATCTACCGCTAATACTGCACCTCCTAAGTCATCTGACTCACAATAGTTTATTACATCTGCTATGAGTCTCGAATTCTCACCAATATACCTCCCTTTCAAGAACCCACTTTGATCTTTGTTTACCAATTTGTCAGCAACTTTCTTTATTCTTATCGCAATCACTTTGGCAATCAATTTATAAATAACATCTAGGAGACAAATGGGTCTCTTATTTGACAGCAACTTTTGATCACCTTTCTTAGGTATTAGCGTCAAAATCCCTCTTCTATGAGTTATGAATAATTGACCGTTATCTTTGGCATCGTTAAAATAGCTCACAACTATGTCCCCAATCTCATTCCAGAAGAAAGAGAAAAATTCGGCAGAAAATCCTGAGATTCCTGCTGCTTTATTTTTAGCCATGCCAAGTAATGCCGCACTGCATTCCTCTTTCGTTATATACCCTTCACATCTATTTTTCTCTTCCTCCGTTAATCTTGGGTCTTCATCGCTCAAGGCAAACTCATCTAGATATTCTTCGTTAGTTAATTGTTTTGAATAAAGCGATTGAAAGTGTTCAACGCACATGTTGAGAATAGGT